CAGCACACATTATCAAAAATTTTGCAATACTGGTTTTGTGTCAGAAGTCTCACGTGGCTGTGTGTGTGAAAGAGAAAGTTGGCCGGTCCCTCTGTGTTTCTCTATCTATAAGACCGACTGAGTGAATGAGGAATAAATAAAAGAGTTCCGGGGAGATATACGCAAAAGATTTTCTGACGGTTTGGCTTGCCATATGGGAACATTCAGGCTGTGCAGAAACATCCTCTGGTTAAGGTGAAGCTTTGTCTCCATTGTTCCTGAAACAATAAAGATTTTGAGGGACCTGACTGATTGTGTGTGCAAGGATGGATGGTGAATTTGACAGAGAAATTGAGGAGAGGTTTGTCACAAAAATGCCACTACAGGGTGAGCCTAAAGCTTTTAAATGAACAAATCAAAATAGTTAMAGATGCAGTCTCACTGTCTAGTCTGGACAAAAAGGCAGAGAAACAGCTGCAGCAAAAGTTATCTGAGTTAGATGACAACCCTGAGCAGAGCAGTGTGATTAATCTCATCTGGGGCAAAGTTCAAAGTTGTACCAAGAAAAAGGAACAGATTGCTGTGCAGAAGCAAGAGGCAGGAAGTGTGTTTGTCAAGAGGAGGTATGGGAAACAGTTAAGCGAAGCAGAGGTGAACTGTAAAGAATGGAGTCATTTAGCATTGATTGCTCAAGGCCTCACCCATCTTTTAATCACCGACATTAGAAAAAAGATAACCATACATCATCTGCAGAGCCGTCTCCGGCTGCAGTTAAAGAAAGTGTAAAAAAGGACACACACATTGTTGATCCACCTCCTTACTTACACAAAAGCTCCCCTCCTCTCCCRACAGCACCTGRTATGTTTCCAATTTTTGATGTGAAACAGGGCACAGTAGAAATAGCTCCAGGACGTGAGAGAATGGTTAACATGAAGGCCCGAACAGTTTCAAGTTCACCTTATAGAGGATGCATAGATGATCTGAGTTCTTTGAACACAGATGAACTTACGCAAATTGATCCATTCAAATTCATAAAATCTGCCCCGTCCACATCACTGCAGTCAGGAGGCACAAATACCACCTCCTTGGGGAGTGTGGCTCGGTCACCTCCTCTTAGCTCACAACCTTTAAGCAGCCACACTTTAAGCAGCCACACCTTGCCCATCACCCCTAACCCCCAGCCTCTTTTAGGATGGGAAAATAGGCCTGACTTTCTCAAAATAACGCATCCACATATCACTCAGACTCCCAGACAGATGAATAGTTAGTCCTGTGCAGTACCAGTCAGAATCAAATCTGAACTGCTCGCTGTCCCATGTGAAGGTGATGTGTCCCAAAGCTCTGGTCTCCCAGCAGTTTACTTTCCATCTCCAGCAAATGTCCAGACAGATCCACAGGAACATGAAGAGAACATTAACACAGCTGACCATGGTAATTATCCTCTACTGTACTCTGGTGGCCAGATTAAGTATAGCCGTTTTGCCTTGGGTGGCATACAGGCCTTAGTGGACAGACTTCCCCCACTGACTGAAGGAGGTAGTAAGTGGTTAAATGCTGTTGACAGCTTTACTAAAGGGACGACTCTAGCTGTGGGTGACATGAGAGCTTTGTTAGTTAGATGTGTCACTACAACTAAGATGTGAGAGATAGAAGTTGCAGCCAAATGGGGGCGTTGTGTGCCTGACCCTGACCTTACACTTTACAGCTTTGGCAGCAGCTTTGATAGAGGCTTATCCTCTCCCAGAGGGGGCAGGTGTTCCCAAGTTTCAGTGGAAACCTGGACAGAACCCCACCTCCTATTTAGATCAGTGTAAGCAGGATTGGCATGACAGGACACACTGTCATGGCCAGAGTAAAGAGCAAAGACATTTTTTTCAGACAGGCTATCCTGGATGGAGTGCCTGCCTCAGTGACTGATGCTATGAAATCTAACCCAGACTTGCCTTCTGCTGATTCTGATATGTGGGGAAGACATTTAATTCATCACTTACAGAAAGCTGCTGATGAAACTAACAGAGCAAAGGCTGATTTAGAGGACATGCAAACCCAGTTACTCAAACTTCAGCTAAAGCAAGCTAGAGATGTGGTAAATCCCAGGAAGGACAAAAAGCAGATGGTGACAATTGTGGAAGCGTCACCTGTCGCACCCCCAATGCCATCTTTACCAACACCTCCAGTCACTTATGAGCAGCCTCGATGGCCCACTAGAGGCCACTGGAGGGCTAGGGGAGGGCTAGGGGAGGACCGCAGGGCGGGGTTACCGCCGTGGTTACATGCAGGGACCCAGAGCACAGGAGGTTTGTCACTTCTGTCACAAACCTGGACACTGGGCCAGAGACTGCTTTCTGAAACAGGGACAAGGTCCCCCACAAGGAGGAGCACAACATACAGCTCCTAATCCACAAATGGCTCCAACTGGCTAATATCCCAACATGACCGGTGACTGGGCTCAGTGGCATGGTCCAGAGGGACATCTTCAGCAGTGACACACCCCACAGAAAACCCAGCACATAGGAGGAGGGGTAGATCCTATGGTGCAAATGACTGTCTTGAACAAGACCCTCCCTTTCTTAGTGGATACTGGTGCTACCTATTCTACTTTGAAAGACTCTGAGTATGAAAAATATGTAACAACTTCTACTGTGTCTGTTGTGGGTTTTTCTGGGGAACAACAAAGACTGCCTGTGTCTAAACCTTTGCCTGTGTCAGTGGGGACCCAATCTACAACCCATCCCTTTGTCCTCTCCAGTGATGTTCCTGTTAACTTGTTGGGGCGGGACCTTTTAAAGAAATTAGGGGACTCAATCCTGTGTGAATCCACTGGAATCATTGTCAGACTGATGGATGGGACACAATGGACATGTTCGGCATCCTCTCAATCATCTTCTCAGTCATCCTCTCAGTATCTGCTGCAACC